GAAATTAATGTTCTTATCCTATATCCTTAACCCTATCCATCTTCATGGAACAGTGAGTCTTATTACATGGTAATGCCAGTGTCCTGTCATAACATAGGTAATTAAATATGGCAATTATGACATAGGATGAGCTGGAAAGTACAGTTTAGATTATCAACTCCTCCCCTACCCCACCCCACCCCACCCCACCCCCAGTCAGTATAGAAAAGGTATGAAAGTATCCCTGACTAATGGTTGCTAATTTTCTGCGTGACCACATCTTGTGAAAATGAACTCTCTTGCCTTGATATTTGGATGAATTGCTGTTCCATTTAAGCAACTTTCACAGATATGAATGTTATGATTACATATAGATGATTAACACACAGGTTGTCTCATTTAATTTGTTTTTCCTAAATGAAGAACTTTATATTTGTTTGATTTGCATTCCAAATTTATTATTTATAAATAACTCAAGGTGGCAAACATATCTAATATTCCTTCCTTCTCCTGTTTTCCCCACAATAACCCTGTGAGTTGAGTTGAGAGTCAGTGACTGGCCTAAAGTCACCCAATCAGCTTTTCCTGCCTAAAGCGGGAGTAGATCTCACACTCTCCCAGTTTGTAGGTTAGCAACTTAACCACGAGACCCAAATCGCTGTTGGTCCATTTTTCTACTATATCAAGATAATTTGAATTTTGTCTTTTAGAATATCAGTCATCCCATCTACTTCCTATATCATCTGCAGAATATATATATTCTGCTGGCATTCCCCCCCCCCACGCCGCCTCCCCCTCCCCACCACATTTTCTTCATTTTGGAACGGTTGTGATTGCACTTTTAGTATTTCTATTTCTAGGAATTCTTATTCATCCTGATTGCCTCTTCTGATGAGCTTCGTCTATCAAGAAAACATACTTATGTTTGCTAAAATATGCTGAAATCTAAAGTATGCAGTCATTTCTTATTTTGGTTTATTGCTGTTGCCTTAGCTTTCTTCTTTTTCTGACCCTTTCCTTACACAGAGTTGCATTTCAACAAACTCATTGCTCACTCACTCACATCTATCCTGGCTCCTTATATTCTTTCTACAGTTTCTGCAACAGTCTCTGCTTACTCAGCAGGAAGCACTCAATCATTCACAATGAGTAGTTAACTATTTTCAGGACACATCATTTGCAATCAAAAGCTACTTAAGAGGTGACCTTTTCAACCCATATAGTTGAGCACGCTGTCCCTACAGCTCTCCTTTCTCCTTTCTGTTGAACCCTATTGCCAAAATAAGGGGAGAAAATGCTTAAGGCTAATCCAGGGCAGTTTTGCCGTCGTCTTCTTTTCTTCATTCATGTATCTCTTTAGAATAATTGCTTCTAGATTTTCTTGGCAAATGAAATTCATTGCATAACAAGGATTTACAATTCTTTAAAAATAAAGACTATAGAAAAAAACAGACCTTTTTCTTTTTTTTTTAAGTGCACATTTCATTCAGTTTATTGCAATCATTTATCAATTTTATTGCTGTGCTATAATAGCAAACAGGCATCAGGGGAGAAATGAAAATGGCAGGCTTCTCTTTTTCTCTAACCAACCTTTCACGACGATTTAGACTGCCTAAAACCTGGCAGGTTGATAGTATTGAGGTGAATCTGCTTACTATTTATTCAGTGGGTTTAAATTGAATTGCACATGGACTGAAGCTTAGTGGAATCTGTCTTCCTGCTAACAATTGGGCAGAATTTATCTGGTGAAGAGAACCAAGCTATTTTCATGTTCAGCATGATCAGGCTAAGTCAGTGTTGGTGAACCTTTTCGGCACCAAATGTGGAAACGGGAGGGAATGGGCACACATGCTAGAAACTGGAAGAGCAGCTCTTTCTGTTTCCGGCACATGCATGCAAACTGGCCACCTGGTCCTCTGGTTTCTGGCACACATGTGTGTGCGAAGACCAGCTGGCCGGTGTGCATGCATGTGCCAGAAACTGGGAGAGCAGGCGCACCAGAACCCGGAAGAACAACAGGTGATGGCTAGTGTGCCCGGAGAGATGGCCCTGCATGTCATTTCTGGCACACGTGCCATAGGTTCACCATCACAGGGCTAGATAGTGTGCAGGATTCTCTCTGAAGATTAAGTAAAATAATGCTTATATCAAGTAAATAAATAAATTTGCAGATGTGAAGGTTGTTTTTCTATACAGAAAAAATCTATCCCAAATTAACCTTCCAGGGTTCTACATCCAATGTAAGGACATAAATATTAGGTGGATGATTTATTGTTTTTTTTTAAAGAATAAAAAATTATGTTTTCACTTCTTAGTATAGGAATCCTCTTAATGCCAACAGTATCACACAATCGAAGCATGGCAACCCTTTCTTCAAATATCCAGAAGAAAGTGTGTACAATCAAATAATTACATTTTGGTTGACTCTCTTATAACTAATTCCCTAAGGGGCAAGAATATCCCGCCACACCTATGAACGTTTCATTACAATGCTTTTTTATTTCCTTTGAAAGAATTTCTAAAGGAAGTGTTCTTTTGTGAAATTGAATGAGCAATGATAGAAAAAAAAACACACAGAGGGAAACTTCTTTTCCTGGCATCAGCTGAAATCTTTTTTCTACATGTCTAAAAGATTNATGTGACCTCAGAAGTAGCCCAGCAGTGTATCAGCAGCCAGCAACACTAAAGCAGTCACAACTTCCCCAAATTCCATTCCCTCTGGAGTCTTTAAATTGGCCCATTTGAGATACCGTGGTTTAAAAATCATTTCCTTTTTAATGAACTGTTTTGCGGGTGGGCGGAACTTCTCACCGCCCCCGGTACCAGTTCACCCAAACCGGATACAACCAGCTGAATTGCACCACTGGTCTATGGTACAATTAATAACCATTTCCAAAGCTACAATGTGAAAGTATCTGTTTTCTTTCACTTTCTCAAGTGTCCAAACTGCAGAACAACTAAGAACTTTTCAGAACAATATCAAGACAGACTGCTCGAAATTTTAACTGGAAACCAAGACGCTGCTTTGTTCATATTGCCCACATAAAGCACATAAAGAACAGATTATGTTTGGCAAGGATGAAAGATGTAGACTTGGTAAGAGATTGATGGGGTTCAAGGAGATGACTGAAACATCCTCCGAACAGCTATGTCATCAGAGACGGGTTGGGATGCCAGGCACTTGAACATTCAGTCCCCGGAGAGTATGTAACTATGTTGGCTTAAACATTAATGATCAAGATTTTTTTATCACTGAGGCACAGACAGTACCATACAGATTGAAGGCATTGTTTCCCTTGAGTCAGGCACCTATTAACTACTTGATTAATTGACTACATTTTTATACTGCCAGACATAAAAAACTAACTCCTTACATTATACATGATACCTCAAAAAAGATTAAAAATCAAGGTAAAAGAAGATCTACAACAATATAAGTGCATCATGATGACTATTCCCTGTACAAATCTCAGGACTGCTTTGTTCTGGAAGGAATGAAGGAAGTAGCCTAATTTTCAGAGGAAGATTATTCCATAATATGGGAGTTGCAACTGTCCACAAGCTTGTGGATTTGTGAACTTGTAAAATTAGGATGCATTAAAAGATGTTGATAGTGCTGGATGAGCTAGCTGCTTCTATAGAGAAAAGGAATCATGTACGTATGTATCCTGGTGCCAAGCATTACAAGGGTTTATAGGTCAAAAATAGCACTTAGAATTGCACCAAAAGCTACTGGTAACTAGTGCAGTAATCGTAAGAGAGATGTTAGCTGATTACAGTAATTTTGATTTGTTATTCCACAGGCTGCTGTATTTTTCAAGGAGGTGTAGAGCTGATTACAGTAAACCAAATTGGGACAACAGTGTCAACAATTACATGAGTAGCATTTTCATACAATGCAGAAATGGTTTGCGTTGCCTTCTTTTGAGGTACAGAAGCGAAGGTAGCCAACATTTCATTTAGCAGTAAAGAGAAATAAATTTTTAAAGCTTTGTTTACTCTAATATAAAAAGAAGAAAGCAAGAAGAAGAAAAAGAAATAAAACACAAAAAAGAGGAAAGGAAGAAACGAGGAAATCAGAGGGGTGTTTTTTTTAGCATTGCATTAAACTTTGACCACATAGAATAATATTAGCCCATCTTTCGTTTATGTCGATAGAAATAGAAAGCTAATTCAGAAATAGATGAATTTGTATCATATCATTAACTAGTTTCTTTTGTATATCCAGTGAGACATTGTTTTCCATGTCACTTTCGTAGTCTGTCATTGGTAGAACCACTTTTGATGCCATCTCTGCCTTTCAATACAACTTATTCCATATCTACCATTACTTCCATAACATCTTTTGGACACAATCTATCCATAGAAGCAAACATTATTATTGACATTGTTGATATTAACTTCTGGTTCCATTTTTCAAAAGTGTCCATCAGTATTTTCAGTGTTTTAATGTTTTGTATCATTTTATAAGACCCAATTAATTAGCTGGTTTGTGTATTTTTCTTCTTTAACAAAAATCTTTAGTTCCCTCTAGTGTCTAATTTTTAAAATTGCTTATCTTTATTATGTCTTACTAAAAGTCCAAACAAATCTATTTCCTTTGGGAAGGACTCTTCATAATTACAATTAATTAAATTTAAAAAGTGATTAGAAAAGAAAATTCATGAGCCTAGTGTCCTTTAAAGGGCAAAGATCCCATTTACAAGCAGGATGACTATCCTCGTTGTCTTTCAGTTCTCAAAATCTCCTGGGGACTACTGTCTTGTGGTCTTCTTGTAAGGAGCAACTATTCAGAGTGCATGTGGATGATGTCCCATCCTCTCCTTGTCCAGAGAGGTTCTGAAGAGTTGGTTTACTCATTGACTCTTTGTTACCTGTGGCAGCCATTGTCCCAGTTTTTTGTGGCGCCATCTTCAGTCTGCCGTTTCTTCCTCTGAAAACTCTTTTTATAGCTCATTTTGAAACAAAATATCTGATCCTGTGGGGACCTCTTGCTGGTGCTTTTTCATCATAACATAATTTCTTTACAGTATCCAATACCTAATAAATTCATTTCTTCATACATTTACTGCTGATTGAAATCCTAACTTCCATAGTACTTTTAACTTTTTCAGTGCATAATTCAATGTTACATTAGCAGATTAAAGCTTTATTCATCTTCCCAAAACCATATTAACAAATGTATGATTATTAACAAATATATGTATATCATATATGTATATCAACCTAAAACTGGACAATCATGGGAGAAACCCATACCATATATCTAAGTATCGCAGCAAACCAGGTCATGACCAAAGCATTTTAGCCTCCCCTGCTTTAGGGGTAAGGAATGGGGGGTTAGTAAAAGCTTACAAATGAAGTGCTTACCTGCTAATAGGACTGAGCCAAGGCCAAAGATCATGCCCAGGGCCATTCTCCTCAGTGCTGATGGCAACAGCTTCTTCTTTGCTAGGAATGGGTCTATTACCCGGTCCTTCAATGGAATGAGGATCAACAGAACCACTACATTGGCTAGAAGGAGCCAGGCATCTGGAAACTGAAGAGAGATTGAGGAAAAGAATGCAAATATTATTCGGCATTGAGTTCTTTTCCATTACACAAAAAGGCTGTTTTTTAATCTCTAAAGAGTCAATGAACAAAACTAAATTGTAATATTTATAGATTTATGCAGTTTCACAGATGCTTCCAATATTCGTGCAACTGTTTATATCTTTCAAGTCCCCTAGTACTAAAAGCATCAGGCATGGCTACTAGAAGTGATACAAAAGTGCTAGGAGATGTGGATGGAGTTGTAAATTGAATACCACTGATGTACCACGGTGCTGATTGTTTAATGTCAAATCCCCTCAGCTAGCACACATTCTCAGTGTTCTTGTCCAGGCTTGTGAATTGTTTCTCCTCCAGGCAAATAAAGAACACCTGAAATCATATTTTACTCCTTTTAACTCTCCTGGATTGATTATATACAGGCAAGAAGCTTTCAGCACACTGTTCTTACTGAAAGTGATTTGCAATAAGCAAAAAGCTAATCTTGATTACTCTTGGACTTTCATCCAGACATTTTAACAGATTTCAGCAGAAAATCCTATTTCTCCGTCATGTGAATCAGCCTTTAGCAAGACCTTTCTATAAACTGGGGCAGTCACATCTGTTAGCTGGAGCAGGGAAAGATGTGTGGTGAATGATCCAGTGATTCAAATTAGCTGTGCTGCATCACATGTGTGCGGAATCGTTCCCCCTCTTTTTTAGTTTTTAGGGGAGAGGGTAGTA